CGTCGACCTCCTCCGGGTGAATCCGAGTGGTGTAATCGAGACCCGAATACAACCACATCGGATGGTCACGAGCTTGGAGCGGTTGGATGTGCCTCCGGAGGAAGACCTCTAGCAGATCCATACCAGTTACCCCGTCACGGACAAGCTGAACCACTCGACTAACCAACACTTTGACTTGTGCCTTCTCTTTTGGTGTCACTTTCAAGGAGGAAGGTTTTTCTGCTCGGTTCAGGGAGAAAGGGGGAAGACCCGTCGCCTGTCCTGGGGTCGGCTGGTCTCTGCAGTAGAACTAGGTCGACTGCCACCCGCGGACCGAGTCAGGAAGAATCATAGTTGGAAAAGAACTTTTGCTTCTCATCTGGATCCCAAGACCCCCGCACATCTGAATCACTTGCGTCTTATCGTCACTCGACTTGGCTTTCTTAACCGATTGAGAACGACAAGTAAAAATGTGCTTGAAGAGGCCCCAATGAGGACGGCAACCCAAGAAATTCTCGCACAAAGACATGAAGGCAGCAAGGTACACGATGGAATTTGGAGTAAAGTGATGGAGTTGTGCTCTGAAAAAGTTCAAGAAACTCCGGAAAAAGGATGAGGGGGTAGGGAGAATCCGCGGTCGACGTGAGTGGCGATAAGGACACACTCACCCTCGAGAGGATGCGGCTCGATCTCGTTCCCTGGGAGGCGTGCAGCTCCATGAGGAATGAGTCCCCCCCTCGACCAGGTCGTCAATGTCATCCTGACGAATCGCCGAGGGCATCCAGTCACCCTGGATCCAGCCCCGCGGCAAGGCAGACCTCGAGGAAGATCCGCCCCGGCCGGACTTCTTCGCCTTCGCCTGCGCCGCCGTCTTCTTCGCGCACTCCAGGGCCGCCATCTTCTCCTTCACCATTGCCGCAGACGAAGCTCAAACGGACCAATGGCACCAGGATGGGAGCAGAAGTGGCGGAGAGAGAAGAAAGAGGGAAATGAAGGCGCACTGTTCAAAAGCCCTGAGCCAGCAGCTTATATGGAGTCGCTTCCGAGTGACTAACCTGTAGGCCCAGACGATCCTGTCAAATCCCGCAACAGTCACGCGCGCGATACGTGGCGAAAAAGGTGGCGCGGAGATCGAGGCATCTCCGCCCTGTCCCGTCCGATTACTGCGGCCTCCTCCGCCCCGCGCGCTTCCCAAAATTCAAATCCCGCAGAATCCGCGAGCAGCAGAACAACTTGTCAGACAGAGGATCTCCTCCACACCGTCACTCGGAACTTTTCAAGTAAAGAAATTCACTCGATTGAAACCAAGAATGGATCAAGGCGATCGAAAAAGAAGTTGGTGTCGTTACTCAAGTTCTTGGATCCAAAACCAGATACACTCATAGCACGAAAAGTGGGTCGGAAGAGTTCTCAACTCCTTCCCCACTCAATCCTCGATCCATTCGGGGGCTAATGATGAAGCTAGGTACCTAGGGTAGGATCATGGACCTGTCCAAACTACCCTACCCAAGGACATCTCTAGAAAGAAACCACCTGTCAATCGACTCATAAGTGTTCCACTCGACAGACTCGAAGACACTCGACCATGAAGTCAACCACTTGACCATGAAGCCAACCACTTGACGGCCGGGAGATCTAAAGTCACTCTGCATGCAAACAGTCGGTCATTGAGTAGCTTTTATGGTCATCATAGCACTTTACTTATGGCGTTACCAGTAACGTCCGACCTTAATGTACCTTAAACCCCACATAACTGAGGGCCGGAGGGGTCTGGCGAACTCTATATAAGCCACCCCCCTCCTCAGTGTAAAGGGTTCACACCCCTGTAACTCATACACATATAATCCAGTCGACCGCCTCCGGGCTCCGAGACGTAGGGCTGTTACTTCCTTCGAGAAGGGCCTGAACTCGTAAATCCCTTGCGTATACAACTACTCCATAGCTAGGATCTTGCCTCTCCATTCCTACCCCCCTACACTACTATCAGACTTAGAACCACGACATGCGCCGCTGCAAGTGATACATGGAGAGACACTCATTGCTCGACTACAACATGGCTAAAAGTGTTTGGGCTCTTCGGGACGAGGACAACTCACTGCCAATCTATAGCAGCAAGACGACTAATCCGTGGTTGTGGTTGTTTAATCTGAGCGAGACACTTTCTAGCAACAAAATCATTGTGGTGTTAGTCATGTTGTGGGCAATATGGTACACTCGGCACCGAGTAATCCTTGAGCATGAATATGAAAGTCTCTTTTCAACACGCCTATTTATTAGTAGATAGATAGATGAGATTACATGTCAAGGTACAAATCGACGAGCCAAGATGGATCCCTCCAGTTGAAGGTCATACGAAGTTGAATATAGATGGTGCAGTAGCGAAGATGCAGAACAAAGGAGCCGTTGGTGTCATTTATTGCAGCGAGTAGGGGCAGTCCGAGGGTGCCTCTTTGGTGGTTCTTCCGGGACCCATCGTTCCCGAGACCCTGAAAGCTCTTGCATGTCGTGAAGCCATCTCTTTGGCTGAGGACCTAGGCCTACAAAAAATACATGTTTCAATTGACTGTCTATTAGTCGTCCGGGGGCTCGAAGCGACCGTAACCTCGGAGGTCATTGTATGGTGTTTCAGGATATCAAGAGGCGAAGCTCTTCTTTAATAGCATGCAAGTTTATTCATGGACAAAGGTTGATATGTACGGCTACATTCCCCTCCGAATAATAAATTATGTAAACATTGATACTCATACTTTGCAATAAAGCAGCGCTGTAATTCTCAAGAAAAGGGGGCGGTCCCAGGGGAACGGAATTCCCTATTGGACGCACATTGAGTCAAATTGTCGAGGAATCGCACAGGCGCATGTGACTAGAGAGCGATTTTGGGCAGGCCCTATAGCGTCTACAGGTTCCGGTTTTAGGAACTTTCTGGAGCGTTCCCAGCTGGTTTTTACTGGTTTTGGGAACCATCTAGAAGGTTCCTGAACTATTTTTTTATTTTTTTATTTTCTTCTTCTTTTTTACTCTTTCTATTTTTTCTTCTTCCTTTTTCTGGTTCTTTTTCCTTTTCTTTTCGTTACTTTTTTTCTTTTCTTTCAGTTTCCCTTTTCAAGTTAATTTCTCTTTTCAACAAATTTTCTTTCTTTGAATTTTTATTTCCTTTTATTTTCTTCTCTCATGTTCAGAATTTATTCAAAATATTTAAGTTTTGTTCATGTTTCCAAAAAATGTTCAATTTTCGAAAAAAAGTTCTCAAAATTCAAAAAATATTCGAAACTTTTGAAATTTATAAAATCTTCCAGATTTCAATTTTTTCACGTATTCAGAAAAAAAATCACGCTTCCAAATTTGTTTTTGATTTTTCAAAATTATTCTCCGTTTCAAAATTTGTTCTCAAGATTCAAAATATGTTCGTGCTTTAAAGAATTGTTTGTGTTTCAAATTTTTTTCTCCATTTCTAAATTGTTCTCAAGACAAAAAAATGTTCGTGCTTTAAAAAACTGTTCATAAATTCCAAAACATTCTTCTTTCCAAAAAATGTTCAGTTTTCGTAAAAATGTTCTCAAAATTCAAAAATTGTTCTCATTACACAAAAAAGTTCAAAACTTTTGAAATTCGGCAAATGTATTGGATTCCATTTTTTCACCTATTCAAAACAAACTCACGCTTCCAAATTTGTTCTGGATTTTTCAAAATTGTTCTCCATTTCGAATTTGTTCCCAAAATTCCAAAAATGTTCGTGCTTTAAAAATTGTACACAAATTCAAAACTTTCCCCTTTTGAAAATTTGTTCACAAATTCGAAAAAAATTCAGAAGTTCCCTGTTGATCAAGTTTTGTTCACAAATTCATAAAATGTTCCTATTTTGAAAAATATGTTCACAAAGACAAAAATTGTTCGCTGTTTTTCAACCTTGTTTGTGATTGTCATAAATTGATCAGTATTAAAAAAGGTTCCTGTTTTATGGAATTTCGTTACCTGTGTCTTTTCCGGATCTCGCTGGTTTTGTTCTAGGGTTTCGCGCAATACAATATTCAGATATGCACGCTAGTAGAACTGGTAATAGCACGTCTTTTATATCGAGGAGATCTAGGTTCAATCCTTAGCTTCGCGCGATTATTTTTTGGTCTACTGGCTCACGTTACAATCCGCTTTGCTGCTGGTCGCTAGCTTGGGCCGGCCCAATCGGATTTCCGCCTGTGTGCTCATAACAAATTAACAGTTGCTCCTGCTACTCAGCCTAGAGCCTTGAGCATTATACAAGGACGCGCTGTAGGAGTAACCCATTACCTTCTGGGTGGAATTGCCACGACATGGGCATTCTTCGAGGGGAACCTGCCCCCTTAGCAAATCTAGCAAAAAAGATCTTGTGATTGGGCCTTGAAAGCCCACGGTATTCCTTTTGTGTCTAACATAGTGCCCGGCCCGGTAACCCAGTCAAGCATAATAATTTTCGGATCTACTGTACTAAATTAAAGGAACTTGGATTTCGCACGGCGTACCCTAAAAAAAAGGATTTCGCACGGCGTGAGACTGACAGGCGGAGCCCGGGTGGGCAAACGACTCGTCACCCCCGCCTCGCTTTCCCCAAGCAGCAAAGCATCGCGTGCGACACGAGCACGACGACACACAGAGCCTTGGACCGGACCAACAAACGAACTGTGCCCGCGACTGCGAGCGAGCGAGCGAGCGAACCGAGGAGGACAGCGCAACCGCCGGATCGATCCGTCCCCTCCCCGCCGATCGCCACCGTTACCCGGAGACTTCGCTCGAAC